TTATCTATATATATACTAATATAGTACTATTAGTTAATAAGCGACTACTTTAAATTTTTAAATTTAAGTTAACGTAAAATAATACACACACTATATATATATATATATATATATATATATATATATATACACCAATACAGCAAAATACTTCAAAGTCTCTTTGACACTGAGGACATGAAAATGTTACAATGTAATTTTTTAAACATTTTTGAGTAAATCTTATGTTCAACATATTTTAATATTCTGGTTGATTTAGAAGTTTTGGAATATCTGTTACACTGTCATAACATTTCTTGAGTTCGACATGTCTGTCTCTTCATTTTGTAGTTGAGTTACCATAGATTCCAGTTCTCTTAGCCCATGTGCCGAGCGCTCATACTGATGAGCTACCAGTTTGCGGTAGAAGTGCACTGCAAATCCCAGAAAGACGAGCACTACAGGAATTAGTATGACTGTTGCAGCCACAGCAGCATTCTTACTATAACTGTAAAACTTTACCCAACACAGAATGGCTATCTCAGCCATAAACAAAAGAATCCCAAGCACTGTGGAAAATCCCCATGCAATTTCAATGTAGATGTGCAATTTTTCATGAGGAGACTCTGATACAGTTGCAACCCCGTGTACACTGGCAACTGACTCTAGGTTAGGTAGAATACATGTGGAGATCATCAGAGCTAGCATGTGAACAGACACTAGAAGTGTAGTGCAGACACTAAAAGCAATTAGTAACCCTTTTGGAATGTCGTGGCTCATCTGGACTTCTACCATTGCCACCTGTAGGGATGCAAATTACAAAAGTGATTTTGTTTTTACTTTAGAAAATATATCTACAAAAGTATAGCTAATATTTCTTTGAAACATTTCAAAATCACATTAATAAAGTAGTTTACAGCATAAACTAGATAATGAATTGAAAAAAAGATGTCTATGCGTAAAATTATAACAACTAGCATGAAACCGTGAAAGGTTTATTAAAGTTAACAAGTCATATTAATGAATAGTAAATCCCTCAAAAAAGAAATTTTTTGTTCTTCAAAATATGCCAGTGGCAGTATAAAGTTTTTTTTTTGTATTGAAAAGCAATAAGTAACATGCGACTTAAAAACATCTCACTTAATATAAGTGTGTTTATCTTGAAAGTATGTATAAACAATGTGTGAAAAAAAATCCATGAAATAACTGATAGGATTTGAAAATGCAATGTAATTATAGAATTAATATTTTAACTACTTATGAATAAAAATAGTGTTTCTGTTTTTGTCCTAAATATGCTAGTAATGAATGAAAGTGCACAGACTGTATGTATACTCCATGTAATGAAAGAGGAAACTGGAGAAATCCCATCAGTATACCTAGTAGCCACCCCCCACTGACTGATGTATATTTAACTAATTCTGTAGCTGTGAAATCTATGCATTTTGAAAGAAAAAATAACTTCTTCTTGACACATCCCAAATCATTCCTAGTTGATTAAACCATACTGACAGGTCCAAATGCAAAAACATAGGAGTTAAAGGACAAACAAACACACTTCTATCAAATTATACTAGGATTTATAACCCTTAAACTCATATGCATATTAACCTTCACACAGCTTATTTTGCCATGATACCTAATACGCTGATCCTCAAAAGACTTCTATCACATTCTTAAATTATAATAAAACTAATATTGCTTGTTCGTCTATTATAAAAATGTTTAAAAGATATGCATTTTCCTACCTATGTACATATATGTTTGTGTTTTTATGCATGTATGATTGTTCCATTAGGGGACATCCCAGCATATTATATGCCCAGAATTTTCCTTTGGACACTGAAAATTGAATGTGTGGCACTCTCCAGGGTATTCATATGCCCACAGGCCTAAAAAAAATCATTTCTGGTTTTTGACTGACCCTATTTTATTGCTGCAACCCTAAAGAATTTTCAACCTTCTTTTTAAATAACATTTTGACATGGCCTTCAAAATTTAAATTACCTTATGAATTCTTGCAGTTTACTTGTAACGGTTGCAAGAGTAAGTCATGATCTTTGTAAGTTAATCGCTACCCCTGGAATAGCAAGATGTAGTATGTTTGTTTGAATACTGTCCTAACTCATTAAAATATTCAGAACACATCAATACTGCTTGTAACATTTAGACACATCTCAAGCAACAGTGAACAAACACAAATATAAACAAGACATACAGTATGTACAAGTACAGTCCAAATGTCCTGGTTTGGAACATGCAATGTGTTTTAATGTAACAAAGTAGTACAATTACAACAGTTAACACAGAGTAGGTTTTGTTTTAAGTCTTCAAAGTTTATAATACAACTTCGGAAACTGATGCCCTGGAAGTCCTGAACTTCCTGTTTTTGCTAATGAGTGTAAGGGCTGCTCGTATATCTATTAGTGAATAATATGTTACAAGTCTTATAAATCAGGCTTGTTGTTATGTAAAAACAACCACTAACTTGTGTTAAATGTAGACTTTCATATCCCTGTTATTATCCAACATGTTTGAATGAATTCAAACTTATTTCACCCAACATATCATTCCAGCCATAAAACACTTTTGTTTAAGAACATGTTTAGATTAGAATTTCTAAAATTTAGAGTTCTGATGCTAAATATTTTGGTTCATGATCTTAGCATTATCATTTCATTGCCCAATTGCCTTTCTATGAGCAGTTTATAAGAGCACATGAAAGCTTTAAAAAGAAATGAAACTTTAAATTAGAAATATACAGTGTCTATCCATTTTATAGGCCTTAAGAAAAAAAGGTATCTACATATGTTTGTACCTATTGGTCACAAGTTATGATTAAATTAAATACGTAATTCAGTATGCTCACATACCAGAACAGATGTGTAAAAAAAATGCCATTACTGTTGTTAAAAAAATTAGTTAAAAAGTTTTAATATGACATTACTTCTAAATTCTAAAAGAAATGAAAAGAAGTTGACTTAGTTTAGATAAAAGTGATGATGTGATTGTCATGATATAAACTAATCTGCAGAATACTTTACCCCTGACTGCTCATATGGTAAAGAAAATACTTAGTTTGGTTTTAAATCACCATACAAATAAGCAGAATAACAGAAGGTCATTTACCCATTCAGGGTACACTTTCACAGCTTGAACAACCATGAAAATAATTAATTGAAACTATGTACTTTCTTATCCATCGAAAACTGACTCAATAATTCCACAGTCAAGTTTATTACCCATGGATTGTCATAATAATGGCTTATGGAAGATGATAAATAATTATGGTATTACGTTAGAATGTAAAATTTTCCTTGTTAAAAGATAACATTTTTTTTACACTAAAAATGTATTTCCAATAGGTACTTACCTCATCTCACCCAAAGCTATCTCAATCCTGGACTGCCCCCTAAGCATTGCTAAAATGTTTTGCTAACAGCACACCAGTCTTTTATACCCTATCAGTTTTGTACCCTTTCAGAACATGTGCTGATCATGTGACTACCCTCCGCCAATCATACTGTGCCCTCTATACTAGCACAGCTAGCGCCCTCTACTATTCTATAATAATCTTCAGTTTCGAGAATGGGCAGGTACAAACCAGAAACATTGGCATATCAGTGGGGAGGAAGGGTGAAAGGAGGTAAGTACCTATCAGAAATACGTTTTCAGTGTAAGAAAATGTTAACTTCTGAAACAGTCTTCCCTCTTCTCACCCAAAGCTAGAATCCCACACTGCAAAGGTGAAGGGGCTGGTGGAGGTGCATCAATATCAAATCAAGCGGAAAGCGACTACACCAAAAGAGGTGGTGTACAAAAATATGAAAAGAAAGCACACCTGTGCGGTATAGCACCACTTCTGGAATGGTATGCTCTTCACCCAGTAATCACATGGAAAGCGAGTTAAAGCACATGTCTACACATTAGAATACCAATTATGCAAAGAGTTTGAATCTATTTGGGTTTATTCTAGTGAATAAAAGAGGAGAAGGCTTTTAATGGCAGGTTGTTACATACCACCATATGAAAACTCTAAAGTGAGATTATAATTTCAGTTGTTAAGTCCTAATTATGGGTGATTTTAATTTCAGTCATACAGATTGAGAAATGTTTAGAGTCAAACCATTAAGGGAGACAGATTTTTTTTTGAAACAGTCCAGGATGGTTTTCTTCACTTATTGATCGAGGAAGCCACTAGAAACAATGTTATTTTAGATTTATTGTTAGCTTCTAATACAGAGACGGTAGAGTCAGAGGAACGTCTGAATACAACTGATCATTGTTCTTTATGTTTGATGTTGTTTTATTGAACATAGGTATCAGAAATGAGATTTTGGTTACAATTTAAAATACAAATTTTGAAGGAATGGGACAAGAATTATCTGTTGTGAATTTGGCAACTGAATTAACTGAAGATACTGATCAAACATAGTAAAATTTTGTAATTAAATTTCTAATATTCAAGAGAGACACATTTCTTATAGAAAAAAAGAAAGACTAAAAGTAAACACTGTACAAAAGTTTCAAAAAGGTTATGATTTCATTATATAGGTTGCTGGTTAGGCCACATCTGGAGTATAGTGGTCAGTCTTGTGCTTCTTTTCTTAGGAAAGACTTTGAATTATAGGATATGGTTCAGAGGAGGGCTATTATGAAGATACCTGGGAAGGAAAGATTGTTTTAAATTGTTTTCTTTTGGAAAAGGGGGGTTAGAGGGGATCTTATTAAAGTATTTAAGGTTGTTAAGGGAATTGATAGTGTCATGCATTATCTTATTTTCCATTTGGTGGTGAGAATGGTAGAACTAGAGGACACAAATATAAATTTTGGAAAGGTATGGGTCATCTTTAGCCGAGTAAAGCTGTGCACTCAGTGGTATTTGTTAACTCTTTCAACATGGGCTCGGTCCCTGGGACTGACCTCGTAATCATTTTGTGCTTGTTATAGTTTTCATGCTATAACTTTTTAATTAGTAAGCAT